GACCTTGAAAGTGAAATTGTTCTTATTCCCCTGTGCTTCTCCAATATGCTCCCACAGCAGCCAGGAAAGCAAGAGGAGCTTTTATTTTTATTTTTTAAAACTTTTATTTTATTTCAGTGTTCCAAAATTCATTGTTTATGCACCACACCCAGTGTTCCATGCAAGAAGAGGTTTTAAACGCGTAGCTCTGATCTGGTCCGTGTTCTGCTTCAAACCCTTTGGTGATTTCCCTTTTCTCTTAGGACAGGGTCCTCATTCTTTAATATGGCTCACGGACTCCGGACCTTGAAGCACTGGCACCTGCCTGCCTTCACAGCCCACCTCCCTCCAGGCTTCCGCAGCCACTCCGCCCACCTCTGGCTCCTAGAACAAGCTACTTCCCACTCAGTCTTCACAGGGCTATTTTTTCTGCTTGTAATCATACTCTTCCACTCTGTTGCCTGGCTAGCTTTGGGTCTCTGCTGAAATGTTACTTCCTCGGGGAGGCTTTCTCTGAAGCTCTTTGTTCTTTTCTTTCCCAGTACTTAGCCTTTTGGAAATTAAATAATTATTTGTGTTAGTATGTGTTTCACATCTGTCTCCCTATAGGCCGGCAATGCCAAGGGCAGAGAATACTTGTAATTCTATCTCATGACGGCATTCCTGCCACCTAGCACAGTGCCCGGCGCATCGGAGACACTGGACAATTATTTATTGGATGGATGGATGGGTGAATGAAAGAATGGTATGGAAGTCCAGGATACAATCCTAGATGTAAAAACACAAATTTTAGCTATCACTGGATCCCCTGACATTTCTTTGCTGTAGAGAACATGTTTAGCCTCTGTAATTACTGAGTACATTGAGGGAGTCTTTTGCCATCAGTGGTCAACCTGGAGTGGTCATCTTGGGCATCTTGAGCCAACAAAGCCTGCTGTGACCATGTTTCTGTTGAAAGCTCTTATCAACGACTGAGATGAGGATGTTGGTGTAGCGTTAATGAGACTGACAAAAAAAGCTGGCGCGAGTGACATAATGTGTCCAAAAGGATCTCACTCAACAGGTTAGAAAGGTGGATCAAATAGCAACAGGCAATCGAATAAGGAAAAATACAGAATATTGGACCTAAGTTCGCCACATCTAATTGAACAAATACAGGATAAGAGACCTTAAGAGCAAAACATGTGAAATGCATGGAGATTTTAACTCACTGCATGAGTCAGTAGTGTGGCCTGCCTGAGATGCTGATTTGATGTTAGGCTCCTTTAATAGAAGCAGTGTGTGGAGAAGGATAGAAGTCACAAACTTCCCCAGTTGGAACACCCTTGCGGGGCCATGTCCAGTTCCGAGAAGCAGCGGATGAGGGAGAGTAGAATTTGGTAGAATATAATAGGGCTGTCAAGTAAAGGCAGGACCATTAGATTTGTTCTCTCATAGAGGGAAAGAGAAGACCTGGGGCCAGGGAAATTCCAGGGAAGTGTCTCTCAGTATATTGTGGGGAGCTGCTCAGCAGGGAAGTGGACTGTGTTGAGCTCCCCTCTGCTGAAGGAAATGACACTTGAGGAATTAGACATGAAAGTGCAAACTGAGCTTTGGGAAGCTCTCTGTCAGCTTAGGGAGGGCATCTCAAGGTGGGAGAATCCCTTCCTCCCTTGTGTGTCTCTAGAACCTGGTATAGTTTGGTCCCTCAGCACATTTGGAGTGCCAAGCCAGAGATGCATGGCCAGTTAGGTAACTATTTATAGAGATCTTGTCCGTTGTGTCTAGAATTCCCTGATCTTGCCTAACTCTTAGAGGATAATCTTATTTGTCCTTATTTTTATCACAATGGCCACTGTTAGAAGCAACAGAGAGGAGGCAGAAAAACTACTTGTTATAGAAGGAATTCATGCATGGGGTAAAAATTGGACAGGCTGCTGTCAAGGTCCCTCATCATTACAATTCTGTCTTTCTAGTAGAAAGCAGAGGAAGTAAGTGCTCTGTCATTAGGGGTAATTAAGAAAAAATGTGGAAAATGCCATAAAGAGCCTTTATCATACACAGGATGAAATATAAGGAAAATTAGAATGATGATCATATTCTATAAAGCTGTTTTTCACAATTGTGGTGGTCAGTAAATATGCCTGGGTACCCCCACCCAGGAGCCCTGCCTCCTTGGCCCCCGAGGAGGACTGCAGAGAGATTATGGAGGAGACAGAGTAAATTCCCCTTCTAGAGAGAAAAACAGTAAGTGCATCTCTTCCTGCTCATATTCCATTTTCTATTATTCTCTTTGAATCTATGTGATGGAGCCTATTTTCTATGAAGGAGCCAATAAAATGTACCTGAAAAGAGATACATGGTCAACTAAAAATTATTTTTCTTTAGTTCTCTTTCTTTTCCTTGGTTTGGACCTGAAAACTTACTTTCAGGGGGAAAAAAAAAGCAAACACATGTAGCTAAGATTGTCCATCAACCTGTGTCAGAGGGTGACATGCAAATAGTCTCATGAAAATTTAGCCCAGAATAGATACATTTGATGTACCCATCACTAAAGGAAGCAGTGTTCACAACAGCAAAGAGTTGTTCTCTCTCCCTCTTATGAAATAATACATTCCTTGATTAAAAGACTGCATTTTTGAAAAGAGAGTACACTTCAGACTAGAATTTCATATGGCTTTTCAAGCATATGGGCATAGCAATTGGAAAACTGACTTGAATTTTAAAACATAGGGATTTTAAAAATGGATTTGGGCTTGGCATTTATTAGCTGCCTGCTATTTGCAAATGATGTAACTTGACTATGCCTAAATTCCTTCATCTGTAAGGTAAGGATAAGGATGCCTACCTTGAACGGCTCTTACGAGTGTGAAATAAGAAAATGTACAGATGCCCCAGCACGGCAAAAGGCAAGCACTCAGCTAATAGGAGCCACTGACAGAGCTGGGGCCACGCCGCTGTCAGCCGCGGGGTGCAGAGCTGTGGCTGTCTGGAGCAGTGATTGGGGTGCACGACTTAATAGCGTTAGCTTTGGAGAGTTGGAGAGAGATCTCCATTAACTTCAGATTTTCATGAGGGAAGGACACATTAATTCCAATCATTTCTTTGATCCATACCTTGGTAATATAAAGGAGGTAACATCAGTCTTTGAAAATTACTTGAATTAGGAGTTTTGTGGTTAAATTTCATTGAACTTCCTAGAAGTAACTTATGGACTTCCACAATTACTTCGGTCCAGTCACTGGGTGCCACTTAGCACCAGCCTGCTGTTCTGATGAAATGGTGTGATGGCAGTGAGAGCCAGCGGGGACTCCTTAGTGGGCCCATCTATTCTCAGTGCTCTTGGTTCCTTGAAAGACCTAATGATGCCCAATTACATCTAGTGAGAGCAATCCGAGAGAGTCACACACAAAGGTGGGTTTTTTCCGCCCCTAGTTTTTTAAACACATTATCTGCATGTCCCAGATAGGTCACTAGGAAGGAGGTAAGATACGGCTGAATTACTTAAAGTGCTTAAGAAATGACCCGATAGAATATCCATAGGGGTTAGGAAACGGAATTTATTTCTTGGTTTAGCATTTGGACAGAAATTACTTGGCATTGTCACTTGCAAGATAAATAGAAGTTCTGATTTCTGTTCTCAAGAAAGTACACTTGGCTTCTTACTTTCTCTGTGCTTACCCCTTGGCCCGCATTTTGTATTAGAATTTGAAGGGATAGGCTCAGTACTTTGCTTTTAGTCAATTTGATGAGTTCACATAGTCTCATCCCTGGGTTATTAAATAGTTCAGAAATAAATATTGCAGCAACTTGTTGAATATGCAACATGCATCTCATTTGAGTGGCATTTTATAACAAATGGTGATTATTTAGTATTTATATGTACTCTGAGAGTATTTCAGATTAGCTCTTATTAATAATGAGTAGTCAAATATGTAACTGGACTCAATGGGCTAGAGAAAAAGAAAATTTTGATTTTCCACAAAAAGGTTCAAGCCCCGGAAGAGAGAAAAATACACATGTGTCTTTGTATATGTATGCATATGTGGGACAAATATATGTCCCAAGCGACATGACTGAAGGAGATTAACCCGGACCAAAATTTAGGCTGCCCATTGAACCAGGCTACAGTTTCATGGAAGTCAGCGACCTGCTCTCATTCCCTGGGCTTTTGTGCAAAGACTGGAGGAAGCTGTCCACAGCCTGGGTTCTGAGAACATTCCTGCCCCAGGAGGGAAGGCTTGTGATGAGCTCACGGGGCTTTCCAGCGCTGACCAAAGGCCTTGGCAACCAGGAGTTTCCAGAAAGGAAACCTGGCCTTTAAGTTACCAAGTGCCTTTTGTAACATACTCGGCTCTAAACACAGGTCACTATTTAAGTACTGGGGTCAAATGGACATGCCTGGTGGGGTCAATGCAGAACTGGTCCCTCCCAATAAGGGGACTGAGGGTGACACTGGAGTGTGATTAGGAGGGTCCAGGGTTGGTCCTTCCCTGGAGGAACTGCATGGATGCATCTTGGACTGGAGTGTGAGAATGCATTACGTTAGCTTCCATAATCCTGGGAAAAGTGTTAAATCATGAAGTCACATAAAGTGTGTGTCTGTAGGGGAGGCTGTCAGGGGAGGAGGAAATAATTGTTTCCCTTGTCTTCCCTGGGGTGGGGTGGGGGGACTCTCCGTTGCGCCACCTCTCACCAATCCCCCCATCTCGCACTTTTCCTGGCTCAGTCCTGGCCCCGTCCATGTTCTCTTCCGCTGTCCCCAGGCCCCCATCCGATCTTTCCCTACCTCCAGACAACCACTCCTAAGGAATGGGGAGCTTGGGGGGGTTGTTCAGGCCAGCCGCACGGAGGTCGCTGCGGTCGGAGAGGGCGTGGGGGAGGAGGAGGAGGACCCCCGGCGCAGCCGTGGTAGGTGCGCCCTGCCAAGAAGGGCGGGGGCTCCGGAGCGCGCACGCGGAGGAGGAGAAGGAGGGAGCGGGGAGGGCGTGTGAGAGGGAGCCACAAGAAAAGGGAGCGCGCCCGCCGCCGCCGCCGCCGCCCTCCTCCGGAGAGAGGCTGGAGTGAGGCTGTGCGAAGCGCCGCATTTCAATGAGAGCCGGCAGAGGCGCATCCCTGCACTAGCGGCTGCAGCTGAGACGCCCGCGCTCCCCAGCTGCTGCAGCCCAGCCCCGGCCCCGCCGCCGCCCCGCAGCCCCGCAGCCCCGCAGCCCCGGCCGCGCCCAGCCCGGTGAGGACAGCACCAGGAGGCGGCCCCGAGGCGGCCACAAAGACCCCCGGCAGCGTCTCTCCGCGGACCGGTGCGTGGTTTGCCTTCGCTGGGGAAGGGAGCTGCGGGCAGGGCCGGCCCGGGCGGGTCCCTGCCGGGGGACTCGCAGCGTCCTCTCCTCCCGCCGCCGTGGGGCGCCGAGGAAGCCCGGGGCGTGCAGGGCAGGGCGGGCGCCCCCCTTGGCCCGGCGCCGCCGCCACCCTGCCCGCCGTTCCTCGAAAGGCGCTGCCCTGCGGTGGCCAGACTGGCCTCGGCCGGGGGCGGTGTGTACGGGCGGCTCCCGGGCTGCTGGCACCTGCCTCTTTTGTCTGGTGCCACCGGGCTTAAAACGGGGAGTAGGGCGCGCCCCCCCTCCACCCTCTCCGCCAGGCTTTTCGCCACGTTGTTAGTGGAGATGGAGAGCCAGGGCGGAGGAGCTGGGCGATGTGTTTGTCATTGTCAGAACTGGCCGCGGAGGGAGGACCAAGTCTGCGCCTAGAAGGAGTGGCCGGGCCAGGCCTCTTATTGTGTGTGTGCTTTCTCGTGTGCCCGGGAGGGTGGTGTGCTTGAAGATGGGGCGATCTGTGCGTGGTTGGTGGCTGCGGTGTGGGTGTTGCTAGTACATTTGCAGGGTCTCAAGTTCCTTCAGGGACAGCGAGGCTGCCTCATGTACAAATTAGTACCTGCAGTGCTAAAAGCATGCGGAGAGGAAATGGCATTTTCCTCCTAGTGGGAGCGCATGCACAGCCCTGCATTGCCCCACAAAAGAGGCTGCTTTTGAAAACCAGGTTTGCGCGGAATCACTGCTGGATTTGGAAAGCCAATGCTTGTAAGAGATGGAGCAAATGAAAGGTTTCATTCAAACTGGCTCCCTCTCTCCGCACCTGTGAGTGTGTCCAGGTTATGGTGCACACGCAGTGAGCGGCCACACTGCAAGGTGTTCCGTGAATATGCTTTGTGAATGTTCCTAAATATATCGCCTTTCCACTAGAAAGGAAAGTAGGACAGTCTTTTAAGTATGAAATGTCACATGAAGGCGGGTCAGAAGGGATTTTAAGAGGGGTTATATGTAGGCACATTATAAAAGATTGGCACACATCCTGTGATGTCTGTGTCCACGGTGGTACATGCACTCTGAAGGTGTGCGTGCACGCCTCTTAGTCCACGCCTGCCCATCCACTTGCATCCTAGTTCCACTGGCAAAATATCCCTGGGGACTTACAGGTCCAGCGTCCGTTTAGATGTGGTAATCTTTATGCCAGATTATTTTTTGGGGTGTGTGTTTGTGTAGATCTCTGAAACAGGAACTCACATCCTTATCTAGAGAAGGATGAACGCAGAGGTTCCTCAAAATGGTGAGAAATCCCACAGAAGACAATTGAGGATGCTGATTTCTTGGCATGGCAGTGTTTATAGGAAGATCTCAGATAAGAGTCGGGCCCCCTTCTTCCCCTCTCAAGCGCCTGTGATCTCTGTGGCTCTGGCCCTTTGGTTACCTTCTTCGTACCATGACACCCATGTGCCCAGGTGTCTAGCCATCGATGGTCCGCGAATGTGTGTCTCTGTGCTTCAGTGGTTTCCTGTGCAGAAAGCAAGAACCTGTAGAAGTCCAGGGAATCTTCTCTAGGAGCTGGTGGTTCAAGTACGTGACTAAGCCAACTGGAGAGCTGAGCCAGTCAAGGCAAGAGAAGGAACACCCGTTTTGATGTCGCACATAATTATGGAACATTAGGGTGTGTAGTGTGGTTTTTGACATTCCTTTAGTGGTAGCCGTAGCCTCGAAAACTATTTCACTTTGAGTGTGGTTTTTCTTTGTCCCCAGCATCATTACTTACTTTTGGGCAGGCTCAGTGAAGGGAAGTCAGAGATGTGCTTGTCCTGGTTGAACATATGATCAAGTTTGAGGAAATACACAAATAAAACAAAATCAACTCTTGTCTATTTTAAAATTGACTCCCCCCCCACCCCCGCTTTGGGGGTAGAACTCTTGGTTCCAGAAGCCTGATTCCTCTAGGGAATGCCTACATTATTTGCCTTTTGCAAATTGTGAATCGATAAAAGCCCCTTCACACTACATGGGCACTCTCTGCTGACACGGTTGTGCCACCCTTTGCTATGGTCCTACCTGTTGTCCCTTGGTTCATATAGATTTGAGAGGAAACCCCTCAGGTTGTAAGATTGCTTACTGCCTTTAAAAATAAAACAGAAGCTTCAAAAGCCAACCTGGCCTTCGTAATATGTGAAGTTTGAAGAGCTTAGTGAGGTGGTATGAGTACTCCTCCCTCCCCCACACACCCCTTTTAGAAGACAAAACAGCTCATGTCAGGAGGAGATTAAGAAAAAAAGTGGGAGCAATGATACCATGGGCAAAATATTGGTTCTGTTATTCAGTTAGTAGCTGCCTGAGGAACTGGATCATTGTTTTGAAGTTATCCAACTTCAAAATCAATGAAACTAGTTCCTATCTACCTATGTATGGTATCACTTTTTCTGGAAAATACAAATTTAGGCTATTATGAGTTATTAAGAGACATGAGGTAGTTTTCATGCTTGGAGGAAAAAAAATACACTGAACTAATAATCAGTCCAGGTTTGAGGTCTCCCCACACCCCCCCCCCGGGGTCAGCAGTAGAATGATGAGCAGGTGAAGACCTTATTGGCCTGGCCTGGTGACCACAGTCCCCTCTCTTTGCAGAGGAAGACTTCCTCAGTTAAGTAGCCTCCTCAAGGTCACAGGCCTGGTTAAGAGTCAGGGCTTTAAAAACCCCTATTTTTATGGGGAAGGGGTCTAGGGAGGGTCTCAGGGAGTCTGGCCTCTAAGACAAAGCACATGGGGCAGAAAGATGGGAGCGCCAGCTTCAGAGTCAGAGTAAAGCTACTTTCAAATCCCAGCTCCCCCAATTATGACTCTGGGACCCTGCCTCTATCCCATACTTGCCTTCAGTCATAATATTACTGACCTCACTGGATTGTTGTGAGGGTTAGAAGGGAATTGTTAGCATATTACACAATTGATTGCTGAATAATAGTGTCAGGCATGCCATAGACATTCAATAAACTCTAACTTCTTCCACTTCATTTCAGGGGTACACAATCTCTAGCAGTGCTTTTAAACATGAACTTTGAGCCACTCTGAATGGATCAGATGTTATTCTACTGAGGGTCAAGGAAAGGTCAGGGAGGCTTGGCAGTACTTTTGGTTAGTTTGGACTGACCTTCAGAAAGGCAGCATCATCTATGTGGTGGGATTTGGGGAGCACTCATAAGGTTCTTGCCCCATATTTTCTGTTTCACTTATATTGTATTTCACCATGCCGGAAATTTTGTCATCAAAACTTCTTTCCTTTGAATGCTTTCTAGATTGACCTGTTAAAATCCGGATCCCCTGCAAGGGTCAACATCATAAGCCTTTCTCACCTAACCCCTTAGCAAGGATGCATTGATCCCACAGGCTAGCTTGCTGATGACAGGGCTCTATAGAAGGTCCAATGGAGACCGTCGGGGGAGCAAGCATATCTTTCAGAAGGGTCATGAGATGAAAATCAGCAGACTCCCAAGGAGCTTTCCTTACCAGAAGGGGGAGATTCAATTCTTACTAGTTCTTTCTGTGACAGAGTTAAGAACAGAAAAGCAGATCTTATTAATAAAAAACATTAATAATACATGCTTGACACTCTCTCCAGTGCTTCATGTAACCACACTTAATATTAATTAAGAGCTAGATATGACTGGCGTTCCTATGTGTAGTTGAAGAAGCGAGGCTTTAAAGATGTTGATCCAAACTTGATACTGTACTAACCTTGAGAAATGTACTTGATCAACATCTCTAAAGCCTCAATTCCCTCAGCCATGAAAATAGAGTGGAAGGAAAGGCAGAGCCATCCCCAAAAGTAACTTTTATCCCTTCTGTTCTTTTTCTTCTTCCTCCGCAACCTTTTTCTGCTTTTTTTAACCCAGCTTATCCGAGGCACGAAATGTAAGCAAATGAGTTATGGTGAAATCATTTTTAAAAAAGCTGTTATCGAATATGTGAATATGTTGGAAAGTCTTAAGTTGGTGGAACCTGGGGATTGATTCAGTTGGCTCTCCATCTGGCAAGGGGGAGCACAAAACTTCGTAAAGCGTTTTTAATCTGTTAAATGCTGACCCCCCTCCTTTTGGTTCCCGGCCCACCACCCCGTCCTATCATCAGCCCTACGGTAATATGAAAGCTTATCTTCCATCTGCCACCAGAGTGAGCACACTGTAGGGAGGTCTGGACTTTGGAGTCAAGCAGACCTGGGTGGGAGGTCTTGGTTCAAGCATTTCTCGATGTATATCTTGGAGAAGTTTTTCCATGCCTTGTTTTCTTCCTCTGTAAATAGGGCTATTATGACTTGGAAAGGTTTGATGTGACTGGGAAGTAACAGCTGTTCAGAGCCCGAGAGGGGTCGGTGGTCCCTCCATAGGAGCTGTTTCTAACTAAACTGGGGTTGACTGATAGGCTCTTTGCATGGGGCTGCGTCTTCTACTTCTTCCTTCTCTTCCAACTTGATCACGCGCATTAAATATATCATCGATTACGGCCGTATTTCCACCAGCTGCTCTGGAGCCGAGCCTTTCAAACCATGATCTTAAAATAACATAAGTATGTGTCTCTGTTTTTTCTTCCCCCCCTTCTGTGCCTCCCAGGTTCCACTTTAACTCCGTCATGTCCTTCGGCAGAGACATGGAGCTGGAGCACTTTGACGAGCGGGATAAGGCTCAGAGATACAGCAGAGGGTCGCGGGTGAATGGGCTGCCCAGCCCAACGCACAGTGCCCACTGCAGCTTCTACCGAACCCGCACGCTGCAGACCCTCAGCTCTGAGAAGAAGGCCAAGAAAGTTCGTTTCTATCGAAACGGAGATAGATACTTCAAAGGGATTGTGTATGCCATCTCCCCAGACCGCTTCCGATCTTTTGAGGCCCTGCTGGCTGATTTGACCCGAACTCTCTCGGATAACGTGAATTTGCCCCAGGGAGTGAGAACGATCTACACCATCGATGGGCTCAAGAAGATTTCCAGCCTGGACCAACTGGTGGAAGGTGAGTGCTCCCTTCCAAGGGACCCTCGAGGATATGTTCTCGTTTTTTCCACCTGTTCTAGGCACCTGCCCTCAGTTGATCTCTGAGAGGCAGCATTCAGCCCAAGGCCGTGATCCTAATTGTTCACACATTGGGAGTTCACTTGGCTGTACTGTGGTGTGGAAAGAGAAAAAAAAACCCCACTAATGGTATTCGGTTGGGCATCTTATAAGAACAGACTGAGGGAAAAAGTGTCTTAATTCTCTAACATTCTCTGTTCCTTTTGTCATTCTCCTAATACATTTTAAAAGTCCCTTTAATTACATTGTTCAGTTCATTTCACATGAGCTTTTGCTGTCATGGCGTCTGAAATTACTTGAACTGAAAATAACCAATGGTTTGTGAAATTTCCGAGTGGAAAGGAACCTTGTATAGGTATTGAACCCATTAATTCTGTCACCGGAGACTGAGGCCCAGAAACTTCGAGTGACACGTCTGTGGTTATGTGGTGAGGGTGTGTTGATACTGGACTAGAAATTAGGTTTTCTGGCATTTCTTTCCAATTTCTTTCCATTGCTTCCTTTGAAGTTCAAAGGATTGTTGTCTTTCTGTGGTATTTGAAGATATAAAGGCATTAATCTGTTCACTGTATTGTTTTTCAAAGTCGAAAAATTATCTATTTTAGCCATTTCATGTGGAAAGAGGACTGTTTGAGTCCACAGGTGAGACCTGCTGTCTTGTGCCAGCAGAGGATGTAGTCCGCTTCAGAACCAGCCCCATTTGAATGGCACAGAAAGCTCTAAATCATCTTAGAAATCATAAGTAGAGTAAAATGATGTGGAGAGAGAGAATGGGTTGAATTCATGCTAAGGTGTAAATGAGGTTGGCTCATCCTCTTTGGAGAGTAGGAGTTCCTAAGTCGGAGGTGTTCGGGTCACGACGGAGTAGCTCTAGCACAGAGGAGCATGGGAAAGGAACTTAGAGCGTGGGGAGTGCCTGACTTCACCCTGAGTTCCTCTTTACTCCACATACATGTGCCCGGGCCTGTTGTCTTCCTGGATCCTGGAGGAATGCCACACACATGTCCTCCCTCTCTCGTGCAGGTAGCAGGAAGCATCCCTTTCAGGGTCCCGTGGAGTTTGGGGTTCCTTGGCCCTGACCACACATAGGCGAACCCTCTTGTCCCTCTGTGGAACCAGGGTTTATATATGATTCAAGGCAAAGGGAGTCTTGTGTCTTTCTCCCATTTTCCTTCCCTTTATTCCTTGGCAGGGATGCCAGTCCAGTCACAGTATGACGGGACTGGAGAGGGTGTGGAGAGCCTGGCTTTGGTGTGTTTATTATGTGGGAATTCACATCTCTTTTCAATGACTCGTCACCCTGCCAAGATGCCTGTAGACTTGGCCTTTTTCCTTCTATTCAGATGTTGGCACTTTCAGTAAATTAAAGGGGAAGAATGCACATGAAATCTTTCTGCATTAGCTTTGATTTTTGTGCTCTGCCCTTTTCCTGACCTTGGAAAATACCGGGATAAATAAAACATTTGGTGGGCTATTCTGAGGAGCCTGGATAAAGATGAAATGCAAAGTCAGGTGCTCGATCAGTCACCAAACCATCCCTTTGAGGACTGATGGTAGTAGAGAACAAAATATGCCAAGATATCCCAGCGCATTGTAAGGCAGCTAGGCTTGCCTTCTCACTCTGTTCTGGAGTCACTTGTGCGGCATCTAAGGGGCGGGGCCGTGTCTTTCTATCAATTTTCCGCCCAGAGCGGGTCTTTACTGAGAAGTGGCCGGAGATATTCCCATGGTTCCTGTCCACCCAGGAGAGGGTGTGCGGGGTGGGAAACAATGGTTGTCTACACACAAGGATCAGCAACATCATGGCATGCTTGCTACCATCTTCTTTTTCGGTTTTCTTAACACCATATAATGCCTGCTCTAAGAGACTGCCGTCCTGAGGAGAATAATGACAGCTCACAGTCACAGAGCATGTGTCTTGCATATATGAATATGTTTAGCTCACACAATGACCCTAGGAGCTAGGTACGGTGACCATCCTTATACTGTGATGAGAAAAGCAAGGCGCAGTGCGCAGTGTGGTTAAGTGACCTGCTCAAAGTCACACAGCAAGAAGTGATAGAGTTAGGATTTGAACCCAGCAAGGCTGGTGCCAGAGCTTAAGCTCATAACTGCCACTGATAAGCTACCAAGTGGGGTATTCTTAGTGACTTTTAAATGAAATTTTATAGTATTAGATTATTCTTGAAAACAGATGTTTTTAACCTTGACTTAATTCCAGGAATGACAGCTACAGCTATGACTCCCAGAAACACCTTAATATTTTCATTTACCTCCAAATACTTTTCTCTCCAATCAATATGAAGCAACTGCCTATTGACAATTCTGATGTTCAAAAAAATGACTTTTTGGAAAATAAAAAGTGCTTTTTTCTGATTGAATGAGTGATAACTTCAGTACAATGTGTAAGTTCACATATTGGCTGTGTTTTTTTAAAGAAATCCAGTTTAAACAGATTTTTTTCCTCATTTATAATTCTGACAGCATGCAGCTGCACTTAGTGTTGAAGTAGCTGGAAATTCATTTAGATTGGCCTCTTTGTCAATTACATTTTTGCTTAGTCTGTTAAAATGCAAACAGTTGCTTCATATTCATCATTAGGTTCATATCTCTCACTTTACATACTAATTTTATGTAAACGTCAATGCATGTTATTAGCTTCTCATTTCCCTTTCCAATATGCTGATGTTTGCATTTTAAATTAAATCCTTTTAGTGGATGCAGTGAAAAGTGTATTTGACTTGTAATTTTTTTTTTTAAGTTTGTTCTTTCTCACTTACCTCAGACTCCAAATTCTGAATTACAACGACATATGTGAGTTTCTTTATTTGTAATAGTTGCACGGTCATTTGCACTGTTATTATTACCCACAGATTATTATGCCTAAATTTGGTTTCAGCTCATTGGCAGAGCTGGTTCTTTGCTTCAAGTGTAAATGTATGAGTGAGTGTGTATGTGTCTGTGTGTGCATGATTATAATAAGTGTGTCTCTTTATGCATGTACGTATACCCACACAGACACGCACACACATATGCAAGAGCAGACAATGGATTAGCAGTTTTAATTATTTGCTTTCCAAATGGCCTTAATACATTAAAAAAGTCAGGATAATTAATAAGGAAAGTGGAATTGCAGTTCTTTTTCTGCAAGTGGTTCACTTTGAGACTTGGCCTCATTTTCCCAATATTGCCTCTTTTTTCCCCAATTTTACACTATTTATGTTCCACTGTATGTAAATGTTGTGAAGGGTAAATGAAGAAATAACATTTAAAACCTTTAAACTCTTGGGAGAAAGATGTCCTGGGAATCCCAAGCATTGACTGATTGATTTTGTTTCGATCAGACGCTGAAGCCTCAGTGAGGTCTGTGTTGGGAGTGAGCCATCCACGCCCCCCCCACTTTGAAATAGGCTTTATTTTTATTTTTTAAAAATTTTTATTTATTTATTTATTTGACAGATCACAAGTAGGCAGAGAGAGAGAGAGAGAGAGAGAGGAAGAAGCAGGCTTCCTGCCTAGCAGAGAGCCTGATGCGGGGCTCGATCCCAGGACCCTGGGATCATGACCTGAGCCGACTGCAGAGGCTTTAACCCACTGAGCCACCCAGGCGCCCCAAAATAGGCTTTATTTTTAGTTTAGTTTTAGGTTCACAGCAAAACTGAGCAGAAGGTACCGAGATTTCCCATTTACCCCTTCCCTCAACGCATGACCAGCCTCTCCCAGTGTCATCAGAGGGGCACAGGTGTGATGAAGCTGCACTGACTCTTCATTAGCACCGGAAGTCCAGAGTTTACATTCGGGCTCACTCTTGGTCTTGTGTGTTCTGTGGGTTTTGGACAACAGTGTAATGACATGTATGTACCATTGTGGTATCATCCAGAATAGTTTTATTGCCCTAAAAATCCTCTCTACTCTACCCATCGCCACCTATCTCCTGCAAGCCACGAATCTATTTGCTGTCTTAAACAGGCATTCTTTTAACATCTTGTGTGAATGTAAGTATGAGAGGGCCAGGGCATTTCCTGTCAGCAGTAACATCAATGCTATTCAGGTGTGTTGTCTCCTGGATATAAATAAGTTGATTTGTATGTCAGTTCTGTCTGTATTAGTAGTGAGTCCCTTTCTTTCTCAGCTCTCCTAAACCTTGACTGACCCCCTTTACTGTGGACACTGTCTGACTCTGGAGCTGGAGTGTTTTGTTTTGTTTTGTTTTGTTTTTAAAGGTTTTATTTATTTATTTGACACACACACACAGAGATTACAATTAGGCAGAGAGGCAGGCAGAGAGAGAGGAGGAAGCAGGCTCCCTGATGAGCAGAGACCCCAATGCGGTGCTCGATCCCAGGACCCTGAGATCATGACCTGAGCCGCAGGCAGAGGCTTAACCCACTGAACCACCCAGATGCCCTCAGAGCTGAAGTGTTAGGGCCAGAGTTAACCTCTCAGGAACAACCCCACACTTCACCCCACAGTTAGGGAATCTCTAGCCACAATTTCCGGTCACCCAGTTCTCCTGGCAATATTTCTTCCCCTTGATGTGGTTTCATCGATTTCTTTCTGTAATTCACTGGCTTTTTCTGTGCCTCTTCCTACGGTGGTAAAAGTTTTAAATGAATTCTGGAATGGCTCTAATGCATACTCTCTCTAAGGCTCCCCTCAGGCAAATAGTTTACTTGTTTTGTTGTTGTTGTTGATTTCAAGTATCAGCCTAAAAATACCAGCGCCTGTTAAGGATATACCTATCGTTTGCCCAGGAGGTAACTTACTGTACTTATAGTTCTGTGCCTTGCTTTGTGCACTTAACAATACATCCTATCATACAGCTAGAACTAGTGTCCTTTTTACTGACTTCATAGTATTCCTTCATATAAATGTATCCTTGCTTATTTACCTATCTTTTATCGATGGGCTTTTATTGATAGGTTGTGACCAATCTTTGTT